GTCCCTTAAAAAATGTGACCACTGCCCTCTTTTTCTTGAGGTATTATATCTCCTGGAGTCATTTTCCCTTAACCTAGGACCCCCGTGCTTTCCTCATTGGTCACTCTGCTATATAGTACCAGTTTTAAAGGCCAAAACCCAATGGTGCCCCCTCTTTCTTTCCCCTTATTTTGCAACATTCCTCTATCCTCTGTGTAAATGTTTTCTTTTTCCTGATATTCTGTGACTTTTCTTTATCCTCTATGAATGTATGTCTTTCTCCCCCCTTATCCTGTGACATTTCTATGTCCTTCACATATCCATCTTATTTGTTCAGGTTGGAGTTGCTTTTTATCTACATTACTACTAGCCCTGTGCATGAAATTCATGCATGACGGGGTGTCCCTCAGCCCGGCCTGCACCCTTTCCAATCTGGGACCCCTGGAAGAATGTCCTACTGCCGGTTTACAGGGATCGGGCCTAAACCGGCAGTCGGACATCCCTCTTGCAATACAGGACTGCTGGCTCCTAACCACTCACCTACCTGCCTGCCTGATTGCCCCTAACCACTCTGCCTGCTGGCCTGCTCACCCCCAACTGCCCCCCCCCCGCTTGCTGCTCACCAACACCTTGCCTCCCCACTGGCCTGCTCACCCTCAACTGACCCCCTGCTAGCCTGCTCACTCCAAATGCCCCTCACAGTCCTGATCACCCCCACCTGACCCCCACTGTCATCCTGCTCACCCCCAAATGGCCCCCTGCTGGTCTGCTCACCCCCCAGTCCCCCCCCCCTCACAGCCTGATCACCTCCAACAGCCTCCCCTACCAGCCTGATCACCCACAACTGACGTTCCCTCTTGGCCTCTAACCACCTCTACCTCTGCCCCGCCACCATGGCTTTGTCCAGAAGAACGTCCAGAAGATCTCCTGGAAGGTCTCCCAGTCTAATTAGCATATTACCATTTTATTAGTATAGAGGCCTGGTGCATGGGTGGGGGCCGGCTGGATTGCCCTGAAGGGTGTCCCGGATCAGGGTGGGGATCCTGCTGGGGTGCCTGGCCAGCCTGGGTGAGGGGCTGAGGGCCGTTTTCAGGCTGCCCACAGCGCCTTCAGGGTGGGGGAATCCTGCTGGGGTGCCTGGCCAGCCTGGGTGAGGGGCTGATGGGCGTTTTCAGGATGGCCACGCCCCCTGACAACCCAAGCTCCCAGCCTCTCCTTTTTTTCTTTTTTTTCTTTCTCAGTGCCTCCTTGAGCGGAGACCAGGGTGGGCTGGAAGCAGGTATCTGGGATTTATTTATCTTCTATAATTGAAACTTTGTAGCCTTGAGCGGAGCCCAGGACCAGCCAGGGCAAGCGGGAAGCTTGGTTTCCTCCATCACTGGGGGCAACCCAAGCCTCCTGCTCGCTCCAGCTCCATGGCTGCCTCCATCTTATTTGGGTTAATTTGCATACTCACTCCTGATTGGCTGGTGGGTGTAGCGGAGTGGTGGAGTGATGGTTAATTTGCATGTTTCTCTTTTATTAGTGTAGATTATCTCAGGCAAACTTACAAACTAATTCCTTAGATGCCTGGCAGCAATTTAAAGAAAGAATTTACTTTTGTCTTTTAGCATAACCACTATTGCCTGTCTTGTTCTTATTTGTTTAATTTTAGCCTGCAGATGCGGAATAATAGTCTTAAAAGAATCCAAACTCTGCAAGTGGCATATCAACATCTATTAAGAAATTAAAGGGGGAGGGGGGAATGCTGAGAACCAAGATCAACAGTTATTAATATAAATGTGAGAAGTATGGTCAGAAGGCTGAATTGGGCTCTTTGATATTCACAAGGTGAATATTTGCATTTTATTACCTACTGCTAACTCAATGGCCTAAAGCAAACTCCCCCAACCTGATAATCTTACTGTTTACTAAACAATCACCTTTGATATGTCTGTTTGCATTCCTGAAAGGCAATTGTGTCTTCTAGTAAATAAAAGCAGGTGGGAAAGAAGATTCAGTGGAACTTGGTCTCTTGTACCAGGCTCACAACTGGCTTCCCCATAATTTCAAATTTATATTTCTTGTCTTGTGTTTTAATTTGTGCATCAGCCCTTTCTCCAAGATTTTGAACCCGAGGCCACGCAGGCCGTGGCTTCACATATATTATGGGCCAATAAAAAGTATATATTAATAAAAAAATGTCAATGAAAAATAACAAGAAAACCTCTCAGTTATCTGCACTCTCCATGTAAAAGTTCAAATGTATCCATGTGAATGACTCAGAACCAAGCTGCTGTTGGGTAGGTCTGCATAACTCCTGGAAATATCTGCCATAGAATTTCATTAGGGAGAAGGAAAGAACTACTTATTTTCCAGGAAGTACTGAGTTGCTCCTGCCCAATTTTCAGGATGTACCAACAAAGAAGCTGCCCCTGGAGTCCAAAGCAAGCTTGGACCTGAGCAGTGATTTACAGCCAATATCTGGTTTCCAACTTTTAAAGATGAGACTGGGGATGGGGATGAGGCTGTAATCCATAGGCAGCCCATTTGTTTTGGGTTCTTCTTTATTATTTTCCTCTCCAATAAATGAAGGCAGCCAGAGTCTCTGAGTCAGTCTGCTCTTGATGCAAAAAGAGAGAGTATAGGAGGTGAATCTAATCTATGTGGAGTTGAGATTGAGAACCAGTGATAAATCCATTCTAATGCAAATTATAATGAGGAACATGGATGAAAAAACTGCCTCCACCACCCCCACCCCATCCCATTAAACAGCCAGGAGAAGAATAATCTCTCATCTCTCCGCTTGCTGCTGTCCTGGTTATGTGACATCCTACGAGGCTGTCACTTTATAGCGACCACTGCTCCAAAGGGGGAAGCTGAGCTTCCCCAGAAGAAAACCAGCAACTGAAACCTGCAGTCCAGCCTGTCCTACGAACCAAAGCCAACAACTGAACCCTGCAGTCCAGACTGTCTGGCTACAGAGGCCCTTACCTCCCTATTCCTCAGAGACCGTTTTCAATCAGAAATTGAGAGGTTTAAGCTCAAGATCAAGTTGCATGCAAAGAAATGTTGAAGGATTAGCATTTCTGCCCCTCAGCTCCTCAGGCCGGTGTGTCAAAGATGAAGCTCCCAGTTGTTTCTCACTCCTCCTTGCTCCCTCCCTACTCCCGCTTTTCTATTGCTAGTTTATAGAAGGTGGAAAGAAAATGGAGCAAAAATTTGAACTGAAAATGAAAGTAATTTCTGTCTTTTTTATTTTGTTTTGGTAGGGACCACACATTCAGAAACAGTGCAGGATAAAAAACAGGCTTAGACCTTAGAGTTTTTAACAGTTGATTAAAGGGACAGAGAATAAATTATTTTATATAAATAGAGCTTGCTAGAATTTTTTTAATGCTAAAATGGTTAATACAAAAATAACTTTCATATATTATAGTGTAGGTTGAGGACCACCTTTTTCTTTTTCTCCATTGTCTAGCAGGGGCTAGTGACTAGTCTGAAGCAGCAATGGAGAAGGGGAAGGAATGGACCCCACCCAGTACCTCTGCAAGGAGGTCACGGTTTACTTAGTCCATCAGTCCCAGGGGACTTCAGCCCCTTTCCACTGATGAGATCAATATGTTGTGCCCAGAATTCAAAGTTCCCAAGACCCCCCAGGGAGCCAGTCAGTCCGATGCAAAAGCAAAGAGTCATTTATTTCAAACCTAGGTTTGGTTCCCCTGCTACACTCACCGATGCAACGGTAAGCTCCAGTGGCCGAGAGAGAGAGAGAGATGCCTGATGGGACAGGGGGTTTTAAAGGGGGGTGGAGTGAGGGCAGGAGAGGGGACTGTGGGCCCTGCTGATTGGCCAGGCGCGAGTCGGTCATAGTGATGGCGTGCACTTCCCTTGATTATTATTGGTTAGTCCAGAGAAATCCTGGGTGTGGCTAGTAGCGGCTTCTTCCCGTGAGGAAGCACATGGTACCGTCCCAAAATGGAGGACCCAAGGCAAGATGGAGGGCGCACATGGCTCTGTCCCAAGATGGAGGACCCAAGGCAAGATGGAGGGCGCAGTCCTTGCCCGGCTCCTGCTGCTGCCGCTCGAACCCGCCACAAGGCAGGACGGCCCCCCGCACAGCACCTGCAGCCGGCCTGCGGGCAGACTGGGACTCCAGCGCGTCTGGGCGGCACAGGCCCAGCAAACAGGGTGCGGCCGGTGGAGTGGCCCAGCTCTGGAGGAGCGGCATCCGCTCGGAGCAGGCCCGGCTATGGGGCCGGTGCACTGCAGCATGGCGGCCTCCCCGAGCTAGGGCACGCGCCCCACTCCGCTGCTGCCGCTGCTGCACTGGGCCCGGTCCGGGGGGCAGCGGGCGGGTGGCAGCCCACGCCGGGCTCCCGCCGTGGGCTGGGGAGCCAATGCCCCCCCCCATGGGGCCCAGCGGCTGGCCCACGCAGGCCCCGGCCCCCCCGACCGGGCCCCAAGGGCCGCATGGACCCCCGGCCCCAGCGAGGGCAAGCAGGGAGCCGACCACGGGGGAAGGGAGGGAAGAGCCAGGCGGTGAGGCCTTCCCCTCCCATGACCTCCCCCGCGGTCGGTCGCCGCCCGGCCCCACCCCACGGCCCGCCGCCGGCCACTACGCAGCCGGTCCGGACACTCGGACCCGCTCCGGGGAGGCCGGCAGCCGCGGAGGGATCCCAAAGCCCAGCGGCCAGACTCCTCCTCCCGCACCGCCCGGAGAGGCGGGCGGCGCGCCTTTCAAATACAGGGTTATTTGTGCAGCCCTGAACAGGTGCCCAAGGAGAAGCGGTGGCTCCCGGGGACACATTGCGCCCGCTGTGGCCCTGCAGCCGCCTTGGGTCCTTTGGCAAAAGCTGAGGCTCGGGAGCAAAGCGCCTGGCTGCCAGCCTCCTGCCCCGCCCGCGCCCGCCTCCCGCTGCTTCCCCACCGACCACGGTGCCTGCCCAGCCTGTGCCTCCTATGCGGGGTACCGCTTGGACACGGGTGGTCGTTGTTTTACGAACATGTGTGTGGAAGACCAAGACTAGGAGCGAACTTACGTGGTGCGTGTGCCCCGTCCCGGGGACCAGTACTCAGCTGTCCTTGCTCTTCCTCTGCGCTCCTTCTGCGTCTGGATCCTCCGGTACCGACTACTCTCTTTAGATCCTGAAAATGTTATGGCCAAGCAGTTATGGGTCGGGTCGGGGAGAGTCAAAATCGAAAGCACACGAGTGAGTGTCTAGTGGTTTTAACTGTGAAGGGTTCTCATGTTTGTTAGCAGGGAGACTAGAGGTCCAAGTGTGGAGGCGCACGGAGGTGGACGATCCCTGTTGGTTCTGAAAGGGCGAGTCGTCGCGGGGCCTGACCATGCTGCTGGCGGCCTTGGGCACCGACTCCCCAGCACACGGTGGGAGCCCAGCGCAGGCTGCCACCCGTCTGCTGCCCCGGGACCGGACCCACGCGGCCGCAGCGGCGGTGGGGCGGGGCGCGTGCCCTCCCCGGAGGAGATGGAGGAGGAGGCAATCGCCGGCACCCCGGGAACGAGACGGAGGACGTGGACTTCCTGTCTGGGCTGGAACTGGTCGATCTGCTGGACCCCCAGCAACTGGACTGGCCCCTGGAGCCCGGGCTCAGCTAGCCCTGGGCGGGGGGGCTAGGACTGCGCCCTCCATCTTGCCCTGGGTCCTCCATTTTTGGGGCGGCCGCCATGTGCTCAGGAGAGTGCCTTCTTCCCGGAAGCCAAGCCGCTGCTGGCCACGCCCAGGATTTCTCTGGACTGGCCAATGATAGTCAAGGGAAGTGCACGCCATCACTATGACCACATCCTGTGTAATGAGACACCGACTTGCGCCTGGCCAATCGGCAGGGCCCACAGTCCTTTCTCCTCCCCTTACCCCAACCCCTATAAAATCTCTCTCCACACAGAGTTTTCCCTCTCTCTGCCACTTGCTGCTGTGCCAGTAAGGGGGGGGCAGGGGAGCCAAACCTAGGTTTGAAATAAATGACTCTTTGCTTTTGCATCGGACTCACTGGCTCCCTGTGGGTTCTTGGGAATCTTGAAATCTGGGCACAACAGTTCCTCCTTGGAAATCCACCTACCGGTCCCTCCTCCTCAGTTGTCTTGTGTCCCCTGACCCCACAGTGAACACAGAGTAGCAGGCTGAATGTGAGCCAGTAGCAGCAGGCTGCCAGGGGGCTACTGCTTCTCTCAGGGGTACTATGGGGTTAATATGAGTGTTTTGTTTGTTTTAATTTTCCTAGACTATTTCATTTCTGTCTCTCATTTTAAGTACTCTTATTATTAATATGTCATTCTTTATTAAAGAATTTTACAGTCCAGAGACAATCGCTGTTTTGAAACATATTCTTCCATTTCTTATTTTGTGTGTGTGTGTGTGTGTGTGTGTGTGTGTGTGTGTGTGTGTGTGGTGGCTCTGTGGGGGATTATAAAGGTTCTGAATTTATATATTTTGAGTGTTTGCTTTAAATAAATAAAATAATATAAAAAAATTTCAAAAGTATTTATTAAAAATGAACAAAGAAATCACAATCATTGCATTTTTAAAAGCTGATAATGTCATATTTTCTCTCACTTTTATGATTTTATTATGTCCTATTAAGGTTTTCCCTTCATATTTGAATTTTAGTATGAGCATTAATTCAGAAAAATAAATATATAATTTTAAGGCATTACATTGAATTAAACTCTGTAGTTTAATTCAATGTATATTGAATTAGTCGCTTGTTTCATCTGTTGCCTTCTGGATGAATATACACAGGGGTTCTGCTATGGAACCAATTTGGGGTTAGTTTCATTGTCTATTTTTCTCTGCCTAGAATATTCTGAGTTTCTTTCAAAGACATTAAAATGTTAAATCCACTTTTATCAATCTGTTTGGTTAAAATTGGCTCTTTGAGAACATGGTAAAAACTAGGTAACAACAGTTCAATGTCAGATATCCATTTTCATAGCATGATCAACAATATATTACTAAAATGAAAATCTTGTTCTAAGAAAGTTGTTACATTGACTACAATATCAGAAAATACATTGAAAAATGAAAATTTTAAATTTATTTCTTTAAATATGTGAGGTAATATTACCAATCATATTTTTATTGGAATGTTTACCTTTTAGTATGAGTTTATATCCAAGACTTCCTATTTCCAGAGTTAAAATATATTCTTATTGTGTCATGCCATTGCACAATTTTTATAAATTGTCTTTATTTGGTATTTTTAATTTGGGTAATAGTATGGTTTTCCTGCAACACATGATGCTGCATTTCATTGGTACAACTAATACAATTATGAAGCCCATTGCCTTTGCATATTGAAAGATGAATAAAGTAAGGTTCTCACCTTTACACAATCTACACCTAGATGCAAGAGCAGCTAGAGAGATGTAATGTCGACTACCTAGATTGCTATAACCTCATCTTATTATATGGAGTAACATATTTGGAGCCAAAAATTCTGTCATAGCTCTAAAAGTATATGCAATAATATCAAAAGATATTAAAAGACCTTGAACTTAACTTGGCAATTTCTAGAGTTGAGCGAAAGCTGGGTTAAGTATAGTGAACCTATACTACTGACAGAGAGATTGATTGATGATGCGGGATGAGAGGTGACTTAAAGTTCTTTTGACCTTTAACTCACTATTTTATCATTGTTATTATTCATCATTTTTAATCTTTTTAACTAATTTATATTATTTGAAATGTATTATTATTCCTATTATTGTTGAAGAAAAATATATTAGGAGTCTTTCTTTCCATAGTAGTACATGGTTTCAAGAAAAATTCTTTAAAAGATATATTCTAAAAGTGTAAGTCACAATGTGTAATATTGGTGAAGGAAGAACTATTACAATGATTTCCAAAACCGATGGAGGTTAATGAGACTAGATTTAACTGAAATGAAATTTTTGCACGTTTTCCTAATTTACCTGCAGTTGTTTTAGAAAGTATGTTTATTTGGCATCAAGTACACTAGGTTTTAGGGCCTGATAGGAATTCTCAGACAGGCAGAGTCTCATTTTAACACGCTGTACACAGAGCTTGGTGGAAGACCATAAAACTGCTGATATACCAGTCTTTCCAGAGAAGCACAAACTTAAAGCAGTTTCAGTTCAAAATTTGTGTTGAGTGTAGTATCTTCACTCCTGAGTCCAAGTTCCAATTTGTGAAATTAAAAGACCAGATTGGCTTCCCTCCAATGCCTGTGACATCTGGTTTGAGATAATGATAAATATGTATGGAATGACTGTTAAATTCTACTGCTGGAAATGCCTTTTAATAAATGTGCCCAAAACTTTTCAAGGATAATTCATTTTAAGCTAAATAATTTAAAAAATATATTTTTATTGATTTCAGAGGGGAAGGGAAAGGGAGAGAGAGAAAAACATCAACGATGAGAGAGAATCATTGATCAGCTGCCTCCTGCACGCTGCATGCTGAACACTGAGGGTGGAGCCTTCAGCCCTGGCATATGCCCTGACCACGGAATCAAACTGATACCTCCTGGGTCATAGGTCAGAGCTCAACCACTGAGCCAAGCCAGCTGAGCTAAGCTACAGAATTTTTAAGCTGTGGCTCTGCTGGAAAAACTACTGATTTACATAGGATGTACTTATCATTTTTATACCTCCAATGTCTTCAAAATGAGCATGTGCTGATGGAAAAGACTTATGAGAAGTAGCACCGTCTCAGAAAAGGTTCACTCCAGAAAGTGTACACATCTTTGCATTCCTTTATCCAGACTCCTCCTGAGCGCTCTCTGAAGGGTCCAGATCCCTGAATGTCCTGAGTTCTGTATGTTGATGGGCTTATTCCATGAAACTTAAGGTGCTCCAGTCCCAATTTGAACACCTGAGTTAGGTCAGTGAGTGGAGAGCTACCCAGGAATTATCCTTCCCAAATGGTAGAATATGACCAAACCTGAAGAAACACAGGACTTGGTTGGAAAGTTTGTAAGGAGGAATCTCCGAAGGTCGGGGCCTCTATGGAGAACTTGCCAAAGGCGGCAACCCCGGCCTTGACTTTTCCAAACAATTCTGAGCCCCTGGATGTTTACTGGAATCTTTATGTTTAGTCTTTGGATGTCCTTGCTTAAAGGACACTGCAGACGCGCGTGTCTTCTCAGGGATACTTACCCTGCTGATAGCATCTAGAAATTAATTTTAGTTCAAGCTGTTGCTACAATAAAAGCCTAAAGAGGCAGGTGAACCAGGCTGTCTGGTTTCTCAAGCCAATCAGTCCCTTAGCCCCCTCTTTCACAGAAACATTATTCATCCCTTGCTCAAGGTCTGCTAGTCAGCTCCAGCAGACTTCAAGTCTTGTAACTGAGAGGAGCTCTTATTTTGAACGTGATGCTAATTTTTCTTAAGATTATATGTCCAGTACATTTCACCAAAGTTTGGCAGAATCAGCATTCTCTGTTCATTTCCACCTGTTGCTTTTCCTTCTCCTGCTTGTCCTTCTCTTCTCTCCTCTCCAGCCCTTTTACACCTCCCGCCTCTTGGGATATTATGCAGAGCCTGGTGAATCAGACATTTCTGTTTACAGCCAAGCATTCCACACATTATTATGCTGGTTGTCATGGCGTCTTCATTTCCAAATGAATATAAATTGTATTAGTTATCTGCCACTATAAAGTGGTGGAATCAAATATACACAAATTATTTCAGATTAGTAAGACTCTAGAAAAGCTGTTTCTCTTTTAGAAGCCATTATAAATGTCAAGATTATTTGAAGCACTCTAAGAAAACCTATTTGGAAACATATACTTAAGTTAAACTGAAGTTCCATATGACCTGGCCATTTCAACCTAAGTATAAGTCCAGCAGAAATGTGGATACTTGGATCAGGATGGAGTGGTTATTGCATAAAAAGAGCTCAAGAAAGTTTCTGGGATTTGGTTGTGCTCTTTAAAAAAAAAAGTTTTGTTTTGTTTTGTATTGATTTCAGAGAGAGGAAGGGAGAGGAAGAGAGGGAGAGAAACATCAGTGATGAGAGAGAATCATCAATCGGCTGCCTCCCGTATGCCCTTTACTGATTGAGCCCGAAGCCCGGGCATGTGCACTGACCGGAAATCAAACCATGATCTCCTGGTTCAAGAGTCTATGCTCAAATACTGAGCCACACCGGCCAGGTGGGAGTGCTCCTTTTTTAAAAACCAAGATAAAAATCACAGGGATGTGTTCAATTTGTGCGTTTCATCTACTGCCTATGTTTGAGCTTAGAACATTTCTGTTTACAGGTTATGCTTTAAAAAGTGAATATAGTAAAAGCTCTTATACTAATAAAAAGGCTACTAGACAATTTAAAACCTGATCTAAAATTCAGATTCTTTCCCAAGCTTCCAGTAACATAATCTCAGATGTGAAAATGACCTGCACCTCAATACATTTTGGGGCAATATGCAACTCTCCCCTGAGGGAAATTGGGGGAAAACTTACCAAGTCTGCCTGTCTCTCCTCTTGCCTTCTCTAATACGGATTAATATTTTGCAGAGGATAAGGTCTAAAGTTCATCCTCACCTTCTGTGAATGCAAGGTTCTGGTGTCAATTTCAGGACAAAAGTTGTTACTTAACTTTCTATTAATAAAAGTGAAAATGAAAGCAAGAGCAGGGCAACTTTGAAAGCAAACTAATGCTAAGAAATCAGCTGCTTGTTCTTCTGACCAATAAAGTCTGTGTTTATGTCAGGGAAGCAAAAAGAGCTCCAGAAACAACTGAATGTTTTCATGAACTTTGTGACCTGAAATTCTTGCCAATCCTCTGAACCACTTTCCACATAAGCTAAAGTTATGTATTGCATGCACATAGACTTGGAACAGTCTGTAAGAATCATTTAATTAGTGGTATGTAGATTAGAAGCCTTTTATTAAAAAACTTATAAATCAATAAGGTGTAGATAAAACCCTACAACATGTACACTAAAATTAACAGTATTTCTGGGTCACTAAAATAATTGAAGTTATTTTTATAGTTTTGTGTGCATTATGAATTTATTTTCAATGAGTGTGATTTTTTTCAACATAAAAGTACACATATATGATAAAGAAAATAATTTTTCTAACTATTGCAAGTCAACCGGTATTTAGTGATCAGACAAGTATTTAATAAGCACTGACTACAACCAGATCTCTGTCTCCCATTAGAACATAACTGGGTATATTTATGTCTTTTATATTAAGGTAAGTCAGATAGGAAAGGTGGCTTGGAATGAGCAGTTGTATTGGTCCTGGTGGTTTGAACAGAAGCTGGGCTTTTGATAGACTTGCAGAGACAAAAAAAAAAGTATTTTATTCTGGTGAGCAAATAAGGAGGCAAAACTTCATGAAAATAGCAGGTTGGAACTGGGACAAATTATTAATATTTTTTCCATGTGATAATTTAAATGACATAGTTTCTACATGTTTTTTTTCACTTTACGATAAATATTAGAGACTTACTCATATTAGTAAATACAGTATTTCCCCTCTTTATTTTAGTGACAGTGGAGTATTCTTCTATTCATATATCCCATGGTTTATACTACTACTTCCTGACAGATGACTTTAGAGTTGTTTCAACAATTTGCAATTTCAATAACACTGCAACTAACATCCTAGAACATCCTAGTACATAGTCATCTTTCTCTAGAGCAAATATATCCATAAGATAGATTCCTGTAGGTGGACTTCCTGGGTCAGAGCTTTAGGTGCATTTAAATTGTTGATATGTAATTATACAATTTGCACTATCACTAGGAAATATGAAAGATTCCCCAAACCTTTGCCAACCCATTGTCCTAGCAAATGTTTTATTTTTTGCTAATATTAGAAGTGAAACAGGTAACTCAAAGTTTTAACTTGCACATATCCTTATTATCAGTAAGTGTAAAGAAACATCTTTATTTTTAATATGGTCATTGCTCTTTTCTCACTGATATGCAAAGGTCTTATAGAATAAAGTAATTATTTCTTTGATATAAATGGCAAATTTTTTCTTCACTTGCCATTTATCTTTTGTTTTATTTGTGTGTATGTATGTATATATGTATGCATATATACTAGAGGCCCGGCACCCGGGGGAGTCCCTCAGCCGGCCTATGCCCTCTTGCAGTCTGGGACCCCTCGGAGGATGTCCGCCTGCTGGCTTAGGTCCACTCCCTGGGGGATCGGGCCCAAGCTGGCAGTCAGACACCCCTCTGGCAGCCCGGCAGCCCTCAGGGGATGTCCACTCACCAGTAGGGAGCAGACCTAAGCTGCAGTCGGACATCCTTAGCGCTGCTGAGGAGGCGGGGGAGGCTCCTGCCACCACCGCTGTGCTGGCAACCATCAGCCTGGCTTGTGGCTGAGCAGAGCTCCACCTATGGGAGCATACAGACTACCAGGGCACAGCTCCTGCATTGAGCATCTGCCCCCTGGTGGTCAGTGTGTGTCACAGTGACCAGTCTTTGCAGTCATTCTGCTGTTAGGATCAATTTGCATATTACCCTTTTGTTATATAGCATAGAGGCCTGGTGCACGAGTGAGGGCCGGCTGGTTTGCCCTGAAGAGTGTCCTGGATCAGGGTGGGGGTCCTGCTGGGGTGCCTGGCCAGCCTGAGTGAGGGGCTGATGGGTTTTTGAAGTCTGGTCACACCCTCTTCAGGGTGGGGGTCCCCACTGGGGTGCCTGCCCAGCCTGGGTGAGGGACTGGTGGCTGTTTTCAGGCTAGTCACGCCCCCTTCATGGTGGGGACCCTCACCCCATGGAGGTTTGGCCAGCCTGGGTGAGGGGCTGATGTCTGTTTTCAGGCTGGCCACACCTCCTTTAGGGTGGGGGGGGGGTCCCCACTGGGGTGCCTGGCCAGTCTGGGTGAGGGGCTGAGGGCCGTTTTAGGCTGGCCAACCCCCCCCAGTGATGGAAGCTCCCAGCCTCTCCTTTTTTTCTTTTTCTTTTTTCTTTTTTATTCTGGGATTTATTTACCTTCTATAATTGAAACTTTGTAGCCTTGAGTGGAGCTCAGAGCTGGCCAGGGCAGGTGGGAAGCTTGGCTTCTTCCATTGCCAGGGGCAACCCAAGCCTCCTGCTTGCTCCAGCTCCATGGCCACGCCGGCTGAAAGCAGGTATCTGGGTTTTATTTATCTTCTATAATTGAAACTTTGTTGCCTTGAGTGGAGCTCAGAGCCGGCCATGGCAGGCGGGAAGCCTGGCTTCCTCCATCACTGGGACAACCGAGCCTCCTGCTCGCTCCAGCTCCATGGCTGCCGGCCGCCATATTGGTTGGGTTAATTTGCATATAGTTGCTCTGATTGGCTGGTAGGCGTGGCTTAAGGCGTAATGAAGGTATGATCAATTTGCATGTTTGTCTTTTATTAGTGTAGATATATATAATAGCAGCTATCACTTCTTTTTCTTTTTAGTTAGAGGTTTTTTAAATAAGTTTTCAATATGTTTTTATTTTAGAGAGAGAGGAAGAGAGAAGGATAGAGAGATAGAAACATCGATAAGAGAGACATTAATGAGCTGCCTCTTGCATGTGCCCTGACCAGGGATCAAACTAAGGACCTCTTGTTTCACAGGTTGATGCTCAACCACTGAGCCACACCAGCTGGGCTATCTATCTATATCTATATCTGTATCTATATCTACATCTATATCTAATTTTTAATCCTCACCCAATAATATGTTTATTGATTTTAGAGAGAGGAAGGAAGAGAGAGAGAGAAAATAACATTGATGTGAGAGAGAAACAACAATCGGCTGCCTCCTATACACCACCAAGAATCAAACCTACAGCATTTGGTGGACAGGTAGATGTTCCAACGAACTGAGCCACCCAACCAGGGTTTATATATTTGTTAAAAGATTTTCATTATTTTATATAACTGAATTTATTAAATCTTTTCTTTTATGTCTTTTTTCTTATCATACTTAAAAGTGGCCTCTTTATACAAAACTTTTTTTTTAAAAGCTCAAGTATGTATTCTAAGTTTTTAGTTCAAGTTTCCATGTTCCACTCTGATCCATCTGAAATTTATGTAGGTATAAGAAAATCTCCAACTTTATATATTTTTTCAAATGGCTACCTGTAATCCAAATACTATTTACTGAATATTTTATAATTCTTCACTAGTGCTAAATACCAAGTCGATCATGTACTGAATTCAAGGACTAGCTGAGACCATGCTGTGTCACTGCCTCATTCCTCACAGCATGACTTTTGCAGAAATGACCTCTCCTGGATGGTACTTCAATCAGAGATAGAACTGCACATATCACCTCCTATAACTTCATTGCCAAATGCAAGACTATCCAAAAAGCTTATGTGAGTGTAATAGATTTTACTGAAAATGGGAGAGGACATCTTTTGCCCTATGATTTCTTTGCCCATCATGGTTTTGAAGGGAACCATGAGTTCTTCAACCCACCAAAGCCCAGCCCCTTTTTACCTTGCTGGTTCCTCCTTCCTCTCCCTATCCTAGTCTATCCTTAACTCATTACCTTGCTCTTAGGAGCAATTAAGCTTTCTCTAACAAAGCACTGGGCATCATTTTTTATTGCTGAGGTTTCTGCTGACACTTACATCCTTGTATTCTCCCGTCTTCTCCAACAGACATTAATGAATTTTTAAAACACACTCATTTATCTCTCTATCAGGAACTTGAGGTCAGTCCTGGACAGTATGGCTCAGTTTGTTGGAGCAATGTCCCATGCATGGAAGAGTCGTGGGTTTGAGCCCAGGTTTGGGCGCATTTGGGGGGTGGGGGTGGGTTCTTTCTCACATCAATGTTTCTCTCTCCCTCTCCCTTCCTCTCTCTCTCTCTCAAATTAATTTTTAAAAGGTAACTGGAGGTCAAATGTTAAAATAATAAACCTTGCTTTATCTTTTTATAATATGGTATCCCAATATCTATTCTGCTATAAGAAAGAAGGAGGCTGTGTCTGAACAACTCTTAAGAGTGCAAATAATGCCCAGACACTTTTGTTTTGGAAACTCTGTGGTAAATTGTACCACAGGAAAACAGGCACATGCAGTGTAAATTAAATTCCCTGTATTCCCTGGAGTTTTAGTCAAGTTCCCAAACAAGCAGCAGTTGTACATTCCATGAATTTTTTGGCCCATGAAATATTAGTGGACCCCAGTGGAAGAATGTGGAGTCCAAAAAGAGTGTGCAAAGCACATTAGGGAGACTGTTTTAATTGTCTGAACACTTTTACACATTCTGATATTTATTTAGATAGTCAAAACCAGGCTCAAGGATTGTTCCTACAGAAAGGCAGCTGATTTTTTGGAAATGAGCCTGTGATAAAAGTAGCTCTTCACTGCTTTCAGTTTCAGTATGAATTGTTTCCATGAAATGCAATTTCCAGTGGCCTCGAATAACCTAAGAGATTGTTTTTCTGGCTGGAAAACCTTTAGATTAGATCATTTTAAAACCTACTTACTGTTCAGATTAAACTCATACGTGTTATATATGTGTCAATTATATTTTACTAAAGTTGGGGTAGGGGACAATGACTGTAATGGTGTGAAATTTGAAGAGAAGAAGAAAAACATTGTATTTAAGTGTTCTAGAACTTCTCATTTTTGTTTTCTAGAGCAAATATATGACACAGTATTTTATTCATTTGTTTGTTTGGGGGTTTTGTTCATTTATTTATTTTTAGCATTTTGAATATTTGACAAACAGGCTGGTAATTTTAAGAAGCTGCTAGTTTGCCTATTTTTAGGTCTGAAGGCATGGCCAGTTTGAGTAGTTCTAATACATGTTCACACAGTAGTCCCTATGAGTTTATTAAAACAAATTGTCTTGTCACTTTTTCTACCCCAAGTCCTAAAGCC